GCAGTTGGCCATAGCATTTCAACGGTGGTATGAGATCAAGGGGAAAATGGGAGGACACATCTGATGCTGCGAAAGCAGACCTCGCACCATAAGGAGGCAGCAAACTGAGGCTTTAATACGTCCCCAAGCTTCAGTGACACTAGAGCGATGCAGTTCTGAGAATAACAGTCTGTGTCACCCAAGTGTCCTGCCTGAATCCATGGGAAATAAACACAACGGGCCGGTTCCATCGGAACTGGCCAACTAGTCCCAACATTAGGTCCCCTACTAATTAACTAAATCCTAAAGTCAAGCAAGTTGTAGTACATATTTCAATATTCATCCATATGACGATCATGATGACAAATCCAAATCACTACCTATACAGCGCCAATAAACCTGGATATCTACGAAATAACGAAAATATGCTGACAGTTGCATTTCAGATCCCACTGACTCATTCGATGGTAATATTCTGCTCCTGCATGCCTCTTTCAACATTTTGTATGGATTGGTTCGCAGTCACTCTAGTTCTAGACCGAAAAGAATCAAAAATCTACCGGTTGCGGAATCATCAATACTTCTATGCATGTTTAACTGGATACTAACTGCTGTGGTGAGCCTCTTGCAGACTATATTGCTTAAAAAATCGTTTACGGCAAACTAACTAACGTTTTATAAGCCATTTTTAAACTTTTGTGAGTAGCCCACCATATCGACCGAATGTAACGCAGCACTCAGTTGTTACGCTCATTTTCAACAAATTCAAACAATAATGGTGCCTAGGATTATGTCATATAAACTGTTTTAACATATGCAGAGTGTTATTAAACTTTGATAAAGCTATTAGCATTAAATAGCGAAACGTCAGTAAAAACAATATCTTTTTGTTTTTCATTCATTGGGAAATACAAAAACCTTTATTATAATGAATATGCAGAGTGTACTTACAGTCAATATTCCATTATCTTCCCTTGTGTATATATCTCGTGTTAGTGAAAAATTTTAGACACATCTACTTCATGTGTGCATTATTATCATGTTGATTATGCCTGTCAACTGGGGTCCCTCATGTGTATAAAGTGTGAACATATTATTATTGCAAGACGCATTTTATTGTTATATGCGGTAACTGACTTCAAGCTTTATTTATTTTCCCAAGTATCTGTAATCCATCGAACGCATACTTGGGTTTTTTTGTTAATGCGAAGTCAATATCTATGTTTCTTGATGTGTGCCATTGGGTCACTAGTTATGCGATTTTTCCCACAAACTAAAGATAAAATGACAGCAACCATGTTATTTAACCGTAAATCATGTAATATAAATATGTAACTTAAATAATACTTATCCATGCCTATACAACTTGCGTGTCCTACATTTGTAGGAATAAATATGTACCTTATTATATTATCATTACTAACTATACTTACAAATTGTATGTGTAATTTATCGAATTGATGATGGCTGTAAACTGGCGTCCCTCATGTACGAAAATGATAATATATATATTATTATTACCAGTAGACAGCTTCACTTCAGCTACCTCACAGCACGCTGAGGTTTTAAGGCTCACTGTCAGCTGCCTATATAGCAATGTGTGGCGGCTGAGAGGAAAAATAGGTGAACTCCGAAATCTCCAAGCACACCTACAACTGAAAATGATCATTCTCACCGAAGCATGGCTAACCCCCACTATCGCCGATAATGAAATCAGTACAGGGGATATGGTTCTGGTCAGGGGAGACAGGGATAATAAGGAAGGAGGGGGAGTTGCTATATCCTTTGACAGGCAACTTAAATGTGTGCGCTCAACGGGCCCACCATTAATTATGGATATCGGTAGCCCAAATTTTGCAGGCCGACCATAGATACCGGGTGTGCGTCGGTAGGGGTTCGAACCCCGCACCATGTGCATGGTCGGCGAGAGTCCTAACCACTGTGCCACCGACGCACTCCCAGACTCCATATGGTGTCATTTCACCGTAGGCCACACCAAGCATTTACTGGGTGGCATCTACCGATCTACCACCTGTGGGGCAGAGCACAATCAGATACTGCCCAGCACTATCACAGGGATACGAGACTTGGGCCATGACCAAATCACCATTGCTGGAGATTTCAATGCCCCATCACTGAACCTTGGCTCGGGGTATGCTAAGGGAAAATTCGGCCGAAACCTACTGCAAACTATTCGAAACACGGGACTGACTGAGAATGTTGGAGACGACATTAGGTGGGGGCTTAGTGGAAAGTCATCAAAACTAGACTACATTCTAACTAGTGTCCAAATACTTGTCGAAAAGGTCCAGATCATTACTCCTATAGGAAGTAGTGACCATGCAGTCATAGGTTTCGATCTCGTCCTCCGTGAGCGTTTGCAGTGGGGCATTACGCAACCATGTCTGTGTTACAGCAAGGCTGACTATGCTGAAATGCGGAGGCTCTTCTCCGACGCAGACTGGCCCTTAGCATGGGATGAGCTGTCTGTGGATGAACACTGGGAAGTGGTAAAAAAGATTATTCACACAGTAATCTCGGATACCGTCCCTTTAGTCACAACACAGCCCAAAAGAAAGTCATCATGGTTAAAGAGAGGCACGCAGCGTATTCTGCAAGGAAAGCGGAAGGCTTGGTTTACGTGGCGCGTATCTAAGAGCCAGATCGAACATGATGCATACCTGGAACTCAGGAACTGGTGCAATGCAAGAGTCAGGAGGGACAGGAGGTCATTCCAGGCTAACCTTGCTAAAAGCTCCTGGCGAACCCCAAGAACTTGTACCGATTCATGTTGGAAAGAAAACCAACCAACCAGGGGGCATGCGCCTTAGTAGGCCCAAGCGGTCAATATCTCACTAGTCTGGAGATGGCTGAAACATTCAGTTTAGGCTTCGCCAAACAGCTAAACAGCAATGTGAGTATTACCGTTACGGACCAAAATGGTGGCACCACTATTTCACAGAAGGAAGACCAAATAGCCACCCCCCAAATAAACCCTGCAATAGTACTGAGAGAGCCTGGGAAGTCCCCAGGTTGTGATGACATCAGGCCATCTGTTCTGAAACAGTGCGCCGAAGCTCTCTGTAGGCCCTTATGCGACTTGTTCCAACACTCCATGGAATCGGGGAAACTGCCAAGGGAATGGAAAAGAAGCATCCTTTCTCCGATCTTCAAGGGTGGGGATAGGCAAAATCCCACTAGTTATAGACCAGTAGCTCTACTCCCAGTGGTATCAAAAGTACTGGAAAGTATTATTGATGATCACATCAGGGAATATCTCGATAGGTCTAATATACTCCATGAAGCCCAACACGGTCTCAGGAAAGGCAGATCCTGTGTTACTAACTTATTATCAGCTTGGGACGACTGGACATCATGCTGGGTTATGAATGTTCCAGTCCATGTGATCTTTCTAGACTTTGAGAAGGCATTTGACACTGTTCACCATGACCTTCTCCTACACAAAATAAGCCAGGTAGGTATAGGTAAACAACTTCTGTCATGGTTAAAGGACTACCTAACTGAAAGGCAATTTTGCACCAAGGTCAATCGAGACCGATCATCTTGGCACAGCTCGTCATCAGGAGTGTCGCAGGGTTCTATCCTGGGACCACTGATGTCCTTGATTTTTACCAATGACCTACCATGCCGTCTAAGCTGCCCGACTCTTCTATACGCTGACGCCGTGAAGATATGGAGGGAGAAAAGTATCCGGAGGACTCAGATAGACTGCAGGCAGACCTAAACCTTATGGAAGACTGGGCGGTGGCCAGTGGCATGACTTTTAACCTGAAAAAGTGCAGAGTAGTGAAGTTACGCACCTGTAGACTGCAGAATGCAAGTTACACCCTGTGCAATGAAAGCTTGTCCTGCTCAACGTCGGAACGTGACTTAGGTCTAGTTCTAACGGAGAAAATGGACACAAGCGTAAATTACACGGGGGATGTAGCGAGGGCATATGCGGTCATACACTTTACACATAGACAATTAGGTGCACTCACTCCTGAGCTCTTTCTAAGGTTGTATAAAACATACGTCAGACCGCATCTTGAAGTGCATAATATCATTGCACCCCCACTGCTTAAAAGAGACGCCAACCTCTTGGAAAGAGTCCAACGACGGGCAACAAAAGGAGTGGTTGGTCTCCGAAATAAACCATATGACGAAAGGCTGAAGAAATTAGGCCTATTCACACTCAGTTACCGTCGCCTGAGGGGGGATTTAATTACTGCCTACAAAATAACAAATGATGAGAATCACCCAAACAAAGGTGTTCTGCCATTGAGTAGGTATAGGCTTCCTCGTGGAAATCCTAGAAGGATAGCTCATCAGAGGGCAAGGACCAGGGTGCGCTCCCACTTCTTTTCCCTGCGGGTTTGCCGTCCCTGGAATTCCTTACCGGCAGATGTAGCTATGGCACCGTCTGTGGACGCCTTTAAGCGAAGGCTGGACAACCATGCAGCGACACAAGGACTGCATCCAAATGGCCTATCCCCTTAAAATCGCATACACCATTCAAAGGTAGACAATTAAACTTGTCGTTTTACTTCTTTACATTCTCTTCCGTCTTACTCCCCTGACAGCTTTAACTACACCTATTATTATTATCATTATCACTGGTATATATATATACCGGTTGACTGACTGTTGTTACGTTTTCTTATTCTTCTTCTGTCTGTTAGTCTGAATACCTTCACTAATTATATCTATTATTATTATCTCTCTTCTATTGACGACGACACCGAAGGACCAACTGGTGAAAGGATCAACTCCATTCATAGTAGTAACAGTCTTAACACACCTCATTCTACAAACCACATATAATTAATCCCTGCACTACTCCTTCTGGAGTCAACCAAAGCTACGGCAGTCGAGTGGCGGGACGAGCTACGCAGACGTTTACCGAAGATCAGGAACCTCTACCTCACAATCAAGAGGCGAGCACAAGGAAATCAAATTGGTTTATACTAGCTCGTAAAAATGATATTGGATATTGGTGTTTTAATACATATCAGCATGATCGAAAACAGGGCGCAATATTCTTTGAAAGCGCTTCTCAGACGGTTTTACTAATGCAAATACTTTAAGGATAGCGGTGTACCAGTTCAATGGATTTAAAAGCTGGTTTGTTACCTTATAATTTCTCATTGAATAGAGGTGTTTTTCCTCATTGTGAAGCTTTTAGAAAACGAAGGCTGTTCAAGTGCAGCTGAGGTATTCCTTCTTTTCATAACAAAATTCCTTTCCTTTCAGTTGATAAAAAAGTTTATTGACGAGAAAAAAGTAAGTGTTTTTTAATTTCTGACATTTTTGTAGTTGTTACCTGAAAGAATTAACACAGCTGGAGTATCATTCCACAATACATATGACAACTATGTTTGTTCATTTTCAATTTTAATCATCACTGCTTTAGGATAGTCTCCATAGCTTGAGTAGCCCGTCTTTATTGGTAGAATATTATGAGCTTTTGATGAAGCTGGTGCACGATGGCAAAAGTTGCTCATCACACGCGAAAACTTTGATGGGAATTCAAAGTACCTAATTTCTTTATTACTTATTTGTTTTCTTCCAGGTAGGATGAAAAAGTTGTTTCGTGCCAAAAGAACAGGTAACGCATCTTAAATACCTGTCTTATGTGTTTTCAGAATTCAGTATAGGCTTGAGAGAATACAACAAGTCAAAGAAATTGTTGTTGAATCACCTACATCGATGCTCGAAGCTTCAGTTTCATATCCTCGCTCATCGTACTGCTATATACTGTTTGGAGTTTGACAAACGTGGCAAATATGTTTTCACGGTAGAGTTAACAGAATTTCTGTTTTATCAGTTGATTGACTTGGTTTTGGTGGTGTATGCAGTGAATAAAACAAAAGTAGCTTTTACCGTTTCAGCTTCCAGTGTCATCTTTAAGCCTTATGTAAGCAGTTGTTTTGCCACGGAATGGGATGGATTTCGGGTCACACTTTAGGCAGGGCCTGGACACTATTTAGTTACGTGATGATTTAATATGATTCAACCGGAGTTGCTGCAAAGCTCTGCGAATGAATGCCAGAAAATAAAGATCTTAGGGACTGTGCAGCAAGATTGCTGATGATGTGTGAACATAACTGATGTGACACTAGTTGCGACCTGCATATCAGACAGATGGCTGTAATTTAATCATATGAAAAATTTGAAAAGTAGTTTACTCGGTTACAAATGTGAAGTTACTTCTTCAAGTGTCATGAAAGGAATAGTTACCATAGAGTTTTCAGGCTCCTACCCTTGTACAAATATGCATTTCAATGGTTCAGTCCTCGGATTGTTGATGTACTTCTCTCCCGGGACGTGTGTGTAGACTCAGACCATGCTGTGGTCCGTGAACGTTTATGCTCACGATTAAACATACATAAAAAGGGCAATGAGGCTCTAACACCCTCAACTCGATCAAGATGCTGAGCGTATCTTAAACTGACAGCCAGGCATCCTGAAGAATTTCTGCTACTTCATCTGAACCGATGGACTCAAAAAGAAAACTGATTCTTGTGGGTTTCAAACCTAAAGAGAGAAAGCTGCTCGAACACAAACAGGAAAAAAGGCTTCACAATTAACGTGAACAGTGGTAGGCAACAGAAGGGAACGAAATGGAAAAAAGCATCGGCGATAGCTAATACCAAACAACTATTTAGGCTTAACAAGGAAATATGTAGCAAAAGACAAATGATAAATCAGACAATCTCCGACAAAGATATCGCCGTAATTAGCTTTCAAGGTAAACCACTGCAATTATGGATTATAATTATATTTCAGTAGTTTACACACAATGATAAGTTTTTGTTTTTTGGCAATATTTCGAGCAAAATTACTGCCCTTGATCACACCAACTGTTGGAATTGTTTTGTTTTTAATTCACACATTTATGATTATTTGATCTATTCCACATTGCAGTTATGGAAGCAACATTTTGAGGAAACATCTCAATGGCCTACAGCCATGCTCAAATCTCCCACTGTCTAACACCTTCCTTAATAGAATGCAAACGTCGGTTCTCTGTCTATTACTTAGATTACAAAGGCTGTCTGTAATTTCAAACATGGCAATCATCAGGACGTGGTGGAATGACTCTACTGGTGTTGAAAGATGATAGTGACAATTTGCTGTCTGGGTTAACTAAAGTGTTAGACAATTTCAAAAATAATCCCATTAGACTGGTGTAATTCATTGATTATCCTAATGTACAAGAAGGAAGACAAGTCTTCTCGTGATAATCACAGGAGGATTAGCTTGACTACTATGGTTTCTAAAGTTCTAGGCTCGATTATCATGGGTAGATTAGGTGGTGCTCGGGAAAAACAAACAAGATAAAATCAGGCAGGCTTTAGACAAGAAAGAGGGTGTATTGATAATATAACGTCACCCTTCGGGAGGTTCTGGAACATAAGTATACTTACCGGTGACCGACAATTGCCGAATTTCTTGACGTGAAAACGACATTAGATTCCGACAACCGAGAGGTACTGTGGCAATGTTTGGCCGTGATGGGAATGCAGGGAAAATAAGTCACACTGATGAAGTCACTCCACTGAAACTCTAAGTGGCATAATAGGGTGAGGAATATTGAGGTTAGGCATCGGTTGTTAGGTGAGGGGAGGAAATCAATCGACGAGGTTGTGAAACAGCTTCATCGATTGTGATAGTTAGGACATGTGTTACGTATGCTGTTTTGCCTAGTCATCGCCTTCCTCAACGGGCTATGTTAGCTGAC